ATACTCGATACGCTTATCGTATCCGCGCGCTGACAAATCTCTAACGATGTTCGTTTGAGCTATCTGTCAGTTAAAAGTAAGATAAAAAATATCGAGCGCTCTCATAAATGCGCACCCGCTTAAAGAGCAACTCGATTTTTATGCTTGCGTCATTAGATAAGAGAGGATATGTTGTACTATTATTAACTAGAAACTTTGTTTCTAATGTTTGCTCCCATGTATTTCTTCAATGTGTTTTAAGAACTTGTATATTGATTGCATAGCTTATTCTTTATAATGTTATCAAAATTTTTAAAATTGATTGCGGTATTTTAATAATAATTATTAATATATGTATGTATTTTAATATTAAAATATGTAAAGCATATATAGTGTGACTCATAAACTTGAATTATATCATCTTAAATCATTTTTGGTTATATTCGACATACATTTTATTTCGCATTTTTATACATTTTTTTTCTTTGAAGAAAGTTTTTATGTAAAACGGTTATGATTTCAATTCACAAAGATGTAATGTTATAATCACAAAAATATTATGTAAAATATTTAAACAGTTTATTTATGAATTATTGTTTACATATTTACAATAAAATAGCTGCTAAAACATTTAATTCATTACAATCATAAATAACTAGAATTACAATCATAAATAAGAGAGTAATTTAATAGAATTTTTTATTGAATTTTTCGTCAATTTGTAGAGAGAGAGAATTCACAATAAAACATTTCCGTAAAATTTGACAGTTATAGTCCCTTTTTTTATATCGCAGTTATTCATTAATTCTTTTCATACAATATCAATAAAACGATGATAAATGTACAATCAACTATGCAGCCATTTTACATATTTGTTTATTGTCCCGTCTAGTACGTAACAGCGGCTACAATTTTTGCAGATATGAAATATACTGTAATGTGCCGGTTGCGACGTCTGCATATTCTCTGATGACTATATATGCACATATATACATATTTTGTTATGTACAAAAATATCCCAGATCTCTCAAAATCCTTTTAACTACATATGTCCTCCACAAATTTCATATCTGGTTTCTATTATAGTCCCTTTTTTTATATCGCAGTTATTCATTAATTCTTTTCATACAATATCAATAAAACGATGATAAATGTACAATCAACTATGCAGCCATTTTACATATTTGTTTATTGTCCCGTCTAGTACGTAACAGCGGCTACAATTTTTGCAGATATGAAATATACTGTAATGTGCCGGTTGCGACGTCTGCATATTCTCTGATGACTATATATGCACATATATATATATTTTGTTATGTACAAAAATATCACAAGATCTCTCAAAATCCTTTTAACTACATATGTCCTCCACAAATTTCATATCTGGTTTCTATGTACTGAGAATCTGACAAAATCAGTCAACGCAACTTCTCTTTTAATGACATTTAAACTTTTTCGCGATGTTTTAACGTTTTTAATTAAATGTTTATTATAATAAACTTATTTCTTGCAAATAAGTTTATTATAAGTTATTTCCCGTAATCAATTTATTTTTTGTATAAATAAAATTTACAAAAAATAAATTGGAAAACATGCTATTGTCAACGTTCTATTAGCAGTGTGTATTTTTTAAATACATTTCTAAATTTCTTAAAAATTACTTTATTTTTAATAATGTTAAACAATTTTACAATTATATTTGCGCGTAAGAGAATTTATCAAAGAATATATCAGTAAAGTTATAAGATAGTAGTTTGTGGAACGCCCTGTACATGACATTGTTACCAATAATCTCTCATTCCTATTTCCGCTCACATTCACTGCAACAAAACGAAATAATATCGATATCCAAGCGAGCCACAACGTGCTGGTCTTTCGCGCGAACCACAGGATTTAAATAATATCTATTATACATTGCGCGGACCGCGAATTGTTTGTCCTATCCGTTGTAACCCGGCGATCGGCATATCCGCGTGGAACTGCCACCTTTTTTTCCCTCTTCAGCAGCACAGGTAATTGAAATTTATTTTTGTTTTATATCGGTACCATTTTCTCCGACGCGAAGGGACAACGCTTGCGCAGATATATTATTATTTTCACCAGCGGCGCGATGCATTGGCGTGCGAAAAAATGGTTTCCGCTTTCGCGGATATCGCGGATATATGAGCAACTTATTTTGCGAACGATCTTCGGCGACGCGGAATAACGGGAGTGACGCATCGATGAACCATGAAGAATAGAACGCTAAAATTGCCTGTAGAAGCGTATTAACCCGTTCAATCCCGAATTATCTTTTATATTAAAAATAAATCTTCTCTCCCTACGCCGTGTAACAATAATATCATATTTAATAATATTTAAATAGGGGAGCAAATATATTAATAACGAAATTTGGAATCGCGTTAAAGATAAAGTTATATTAATCGCTACATTTCTCCATTCTGGTAAATAATTTAAATTATTCTCGCGTATAAATTGGGAAATTATACCAATGAAAGAACACATGAAAATAATATAGCTGTGTTAGCATTTTTTACAGATTTATTAGCTGACAATTATATGGGTTTATTTACACATCGTTAATTATATGCATATTATATGTTGTTTATTACGAAAAATAATTTTTGTGAAACAGATATATTATTCATGTAGACAACAAAGTATTATAGAAATGTACTTAGATGAATAAATTTGGTAATACAATCATATATCGCTTAAAGTGATCGATAACCGAGGTTAGCGATGACTGGAAGATTGATGATGTATTTGTTTACTATAGATATACTACTACGGTATATTACAGATATAATTATCGAATAATTACAGTATAACATAATATATGATGTATGTATTTCTGTAGGTCTCTCGGGTGCATTTATTAACTATCAAAATTTAAATTCAAGACTTGTTTTAACTCACAACAATTATTTTATCAATATATTCATAAAATAATATGTAGTATCAAATAATAAAAATGAATCAAAATGTTAAATTTTCCGCTTAAAATTTTGCATTAATGAATAATGTAAAATTAATGTTGGTTTGAAAATTCAGAAATTATCTAAATGTATCTGATATTATCTTTTTATGCAAGATATTATAATTTTAATTTTAATAGCTTTTTAAGATTTACTTGATGTGCCTTATACCCTTCTATCAACATATTAAATATATATAAACAATATATATAAACAATATTAAATATATATAAACAATATTAAATTAAATATTTCCATAACATATATATTTTTATTTTTCTATAAGAAAGGTCCATATACAAGAAAGATGAGTCTCAATATACAATGAGATTTTTTCGAAATTAAGTAAAACTTGAAATAAAATGTTGAGATAAAAAAAAATCTATCTGTTCATATTGTTCTAGAACTTGGGAAAACTGATTTTTAAGGTTTTCAAATTTGACTGTAACATCAATGAGAAATGCGTATACAGAAACTTTTTGCTTTGACAACAACTTTAAATATGAATAATAGAACATTACATTGAAATGTACATATCACACAATCCTTTAAATTATATTTGTATCTTATTTAAAATAATATTGTTTAAAACGCAAAATGTATATAATATATTTTGATTGTTCTTAAGAAAAATGTAGTTGTATATGAAATATTATAAGGCTTTTCTTCAGTAGAGAAGCGGAGACGATCGTAAATATAAGGATTAATAAAATACATTAATCGGAGCACCAGTTTACCATCGACGTTGCGCAAATGATTTTGCCATGCATACGTGCAAGCAATGAATTGCGATCGACGCAAAATCGTGCTCAACATACTCGGTAATCGCACATGGATTATCGCGATACGCGGGCTTCCGCGGCATGTAAAATGAATAATTAATATATTCAAATGAAACGCACTTAAACTCTATACAGCCACTCATCCGCCGCCACCCCTCCACCGTTCTAATTCTCATCCACGATGTGAGCGAACGTACATACACCCTTGCACGCGCATTACCATCGATCGCGTAAACAGTCTTCGCGACCGAATCCTCAGGCGAAGGGAGCGGATAAGGGAAGTAATCTTTTCTGTGAGTCAAATGCGCCGAGCAAGGCGATGATAATATAAGCTTTTTTTTTTCCTCCGGAAGCGTTTGCTCGTAGTACACGATTTTTCTCAGGGAAGCAAATGATCGCGCGGCAGGATAGGCGAAGATGGAGTGAGACAATACACGGATGTAAGATAATGTTTCTTTTTTTAAACTACGCTTATATAAATTATTCAAACATTACCATGTTTTTATAAGAGAGAGACAGAGAGAGAGACAGAGAGAGAGAGAGAGAGAGACAGAGAGAAATTTTCTTGAATTTTGAACCAATTTTCTCTTAACAAAAATGTCGATATTTTAACAATCTTCATGTTATAAATATTTGAAATTGACTGTACAAGAATTAATTTTGAACAAACTAATTTAGAGAACAGAGTTTTATTTCATAATTTTATATAGTTTTTAACATTTTCATTAAAGAGTTGTTTATTAAAATAGTATAAGAAACAAGATAAAAAATAGACCTGCGTTGAATTTCGGTAACAAAAAACTGGCCGCAAATTTATCAAAGAATTTGTCATTAAAATAATAAATGAGACTGGATATTCTTAGATTATCACAGTAAAGTCGCACGTAACGCAAGTTTGTTTAATTCTAGAAAAAGCGAGCTCTTGATGCTTTTGATGCTCGTGATGCTTTTGTATATATCTCAAAGTTTGTAACAATCCCTCTGTAATTTTTTTAATTAACAAATGCAAATGCGAGACAAGAAATTCCGCGACTATATCCAGAAAGTCTCTTTAGAATGTTTCTCACATCTAGAAAAGAGCACGAGATATGCGTTTATTAATTACATAATTATAAAAAAATTATTGTTAAATAAATATTAAAATAAAAAAATAAATATATAAATATAAACTTTTTTATTAGAGATTGATTTTTTTTACTTGTACCATCAGAATGTCTCAACATGATAAAATGTGCAAACATCATATCATTTTCTTTTACAGATCGTTTCATCCCGTATCTGGATTTCTATTCCGGATGCATTTGCATGTCGCAACGGATGCGGATAGGCAGGTGCCACGTGCACAGATGCAACGATGCAGCTCAGTGCAATGATGCGGCGGATTGTGTACTCATCATCCGGATTACACATCATCACCTCGATCGGTGGTGAATTGGTGCGGGTAAAATTGTATCAATCCGATTTCGTCTCGATATGATCGCGCATTGTACGATGCCTCGCGTCGCGAAGATTTACAGTGCACGGCGCACGTCTCCGCGAATATGAAATCTCGAGGAGCTCGAGCATCGGAAGCTCGTACTATAACGATCCCGAAAGGAGAACAAAGTAGTGGATAAAAATCATAGCAGGAACCCTTAACAATCTCGAGAAGATAGTGAATGGAAGATTCTTCATCGAGGTAAAAATTTATTAAAAGTGGGCCACTGTGTACAGTTTGTTAAGTTACTTTCGTTCAGATAAGTTGTGAAAAATCGAGGACATTTTTTGCTCATCGTCGTCTGATGGTGAGGAAAATCCTCGTGTCGATAAGACAAGACGGGGTGCTGTGATGGCGAAGCCAATGACAGGTTGCAATATAGTATCCTTCAGAACTTTATCTACGAGGAAATGCCCTTCTCTTGACGTAAATTTTTATTTTCTCAAAAGCTTGACATAATGGCGAGAACTTGTTTAAAATATTCTTCGTAAATACAACGTAAATACAGCTACTATTATTAAAAATGTAATAATAATGATTTATGGTTTATTGCAAGTTCGATTATTACACAATATAAAATATTTGTAAAGTACCTTTAACAAATTACGTATAATAAATGTGTGTTTTTTTAGTAAATTATTAAAATATTTCCATTATTTACTATCAAATATCTCAAAATTTACTGTGCCTTTTAACTGATGAACATTAATTACTTGGATTTATTACAATTAATTTGAGATATTTTATAAATTTAATCTACATTGTTTTGAGAAAAGATTTATCAAATATTTTGCTGTGCATATTATTAATTTTTATTGTAAGCGTTATTTCAGCGAAAGACACCGTCAATGATAGGATGATATTGAATATTAACAAATATCGCGACAGGAAATTCGGCATGTTTTGCCATAGCAGGAAAATTCTATATTTAACCGATTCAATGCAATATAAAGTATAACGTAGAAAATAATTAACAGCAAACAATAAACCATTATCAATCAAATTATATCGCCCAACTCACTTAAAACGATAAAGTTATCATCAGCTTGCTTTTTAATTTTCAAAAACAAAGCAAGGAAATTTAAATATATTCTGATATACATGAAAATTTAAAAAGAAAAAAATAATACACATAGAAATTTCTATATTAATTATTCCTTATATGTTGTTTTTTCAAATTTTGTGTACAAGAAATGAAGTACCTCTCTTCAATTATTATGATTAGTCGTAACACACATATGAAATAGTCATTTTACATCAACAGCTTTCCGAAAAAAAAATTTCAGATAAAATTTAATATATCTAATTAAAACTTTTCTTTTACACAAAGCTATTCATGTTTTCTTTTTAATAGAAGATAAATTTCAAATGCAAGGAAAGAGAGAAATGTAAAAATCTATCGATACTTTCATATTTCAGATAATAACTTTTGCATATTAGCGATATTCATTTTTCTTATGCTAATTTTATTTTTTATTTTATGATGCTTTTTCATTTTTAATTAAGTTCCCAGTGCGCTTTAACCCCTAAAGAAAAATACTTCAACTATAAAAAAATTTATGTGATACATACAAAGAGGATTAATTATTTAATGTTCACATAATCCTTTGATCATTATGGCTCGCATGATTGCTTTTTGAAAAATAGAGAACTTTACGTCGCGTCTCAAATATCGGAAGTAAACACAGCGACGCATCTATCGGTTTACTCAGGCATAGTAATCATCACGCGTCGTTGAATAATTGAGAAAGACCTTCAAACGCGTCGTAGATGCAAAACGACGAAAAGACGTTTTCCTGTACCATCCTTTTTTCCCTTTCTCATTCTCTCTCTCTTACTCCACCTCGCAATTTCATTCCGCGGAACTCCTTTTAGAAGTGCTTCTACACTCAAAATAGTGCCGTGAATTATTTGTGCGCCATTCGTCGCACCACGCCAAAACGAAGCAAAAGAGGGTAGAAAGAAGCATGGAAGAGAGAAGCCAGATGAGTTGCATACACATAGAAGAACGTAAGCGAAACTAACGAACATGCCGCACGCGGATCTTGCGCTCGGCCGAATAAACTTGCAGAACCTTGTTATAACTTTCAAGCAGTAGGTCGAGTCCGAGAAACGATGCCGAAAAGATACGGACAGATGTAGCTGTACAGGGTGTTCTGAAAGTATACACGGTGATATCTGAGATTCAATCTCCGCAATCACGACGTGAGAGGGGAGTGCAATCTGCGCGAAGATTATGTTAAAGAAGATAAATCGTTTAATTGAGCGAGAAAAATATAATATGTTAATTTATAATTTTGATATATTTGAGTCAATATTGAGATACATATTATGTTAGATAATCCTATATCATTTCACTATTTTTTAACAAATTGTTTAAAAAACAAACTCACTATTTTCAATAAAATATATAACAATTGCTATTAATTTAAATTAAAAATTAAAAAATTAAAAATTCTACCTTATACAGTATCCAGCGATATTTACATTCATTACTTTGACAATATAAGTACGGTCGTTTTACTGCTCGCTGGTGATTGATCTTTGTTTTTAGATTAGATGGTAAATCGGCTGCTGGAAACGCGTTAATTATCACGGTGATATTTGTTTAACTTAAAAAAAAAGTGCAGCATGTTTATAAAAATATACTCAATGGCTATCATAACTTTGATAATCTCCGATGCATATAGACTCGCGACTGTTGCACGTAATCTGTGCATTTTTGCATTTAGTGCATATCTTTGCATTTAATATTAAGTCTAAATCTATATTTTTTCAGTGAAAAATGTATCGCAAACAGAGATATATCAAGTTAAATTTTTATTTTAAAATTTCTTTAGTTAGAGCTATTTTATAATAATAAATGATGTAGAAACGGAAATTGTTTTATGGAAAGGTTCACTAAAAGTGGAGAAATAAATATTTTGTTAACGGAGTCGTTTTTGGAGGAGTGCATGTACTGCGTAACAAGTATAGATTCACATGATACTTTCACAGTATACTGAAAAGAAAAGTACTCTCGCATGCAGCGCGTTCAGGACACCATGTACAGAATATGAAAGAGGATGGGTCCAATTTGGATATGGCCGAGGAGGATGTTTCTTTTTGCCGAGGAAGTACCCGTCCTCTTTTCTTTTCTTTCTATTAGTTATTTTACGGCAATGGCGTGTATTTCTTTACTATTCAAAGCAGACTATCCGATATTCGCGGTACGTATTGACGTAAGTGCCACAAGGATTCGTTACTTGCTTGCTAAAAGCAACCGAAGGCTCGACCTAGTTAACAGAAAGGCGTGCAATTTTTCGCACAAGTGGTTTGGCCTGTAGCCTCTCACGAAATATCTAATTGCATTTAAAATACATTTTTTTCTATTGTAAAATGCATTTTATGTTGTTTAGTAAGAACGCCTTTATCGGAGAATGATAAAACCAATAATCGATTTGCTTTATATAGCGGCAATGCTCTGACCCGCGATATAAATTAATCTATGAATCTAGATTAATTCTTTTTGAAATTTTTCATCGAGATTATAATTTAAGGATCTATGATTCTTAAATCGCTTAAATCTTAATCGATGTAATGGATAGAGTGAACTCTAATTTATTTGTAATTAATTTTTAAAATAATTGACTCTTAGCAATTACAAAATTTTTATTATACAATTATAAAATTTCTTTCTTATAAAAAATAATAGTAAAAAAATTTTATGTTTTTATTGCTTAAGATTTTCTGTGTACTTTATATAACTATATAAGTTTTATAATTAAAAATGCTTTGTTTTCGATGAAGAGCGTTAAATACATACTCTATGAGACATGCAAAAACAATCTAATCTTTGCAATTTGCCTTCAAGTTTCCCTGATAAAGATTGTAAAGATATCATGGATATAATATGTGTCACGATGGTTATTTAATCAAGACTGCAATTTTTGTAAAATAAAACCAAAGGGGATCGAATAATATCGGATCATTCTCCAAATTGGACCATTCTACTTCTGTGCTACCGCATTACCTATCGAAATTATTGTACATCAGATTATACCAAGAAACTTGTGATGTGTGGAAACGTATCAAACGAATCGCGGCGTACGTTAAGAGAAGTTTTATCTATATTCGTAATACATTATTATATACATATATGAAATATACATAGACTCAATCATGATAAGATATATTTTTATATGTAAATATGGCATTTCTTCTTGTTATCTTATTAATATTTTGCCGAGGCGGTAGACAAACTAATAAAATCTCGGAAATTTACGAAGGTGGCGAAAACATGGCCGTCGCGAGAGTCATTGTAATTCGTACATTTTTCCTGATACGCAAGAAAAGATTATGAGCAACGTGCGAGGAGAGAACAAAGGCGTTTAACTAATGTCTTGCAGATATCCTGTGATTATTAGGCACGATCGGTACTTCTTTCGTTTGTTATTCTCAGCTCTTGTTGGTCAGTAGATTAATTAGACTTATCTATCACAATAATCAAGAATAAATATCGTAACGATGGTTCAGATATAACTTTTCATCGATTCTAAGATTATTGCGCGGAGAGAATTTCCGTCAAACTTATTACTGCCACTAGAGAATATTGTTTCTCTCGATAAAGAAAGGAAGGAAGAGAGAGAATATTAAAGTATAAATTAATTGCAATTAATAGCTTGTTGTTGTTATATTAAGTTTTATTATGTGGAACTAAATTTTAACAAAATCAAAGTTCTTGATACATAATTTGTTCGAAAATAGTTAAAGATATTTCAAAAATTATTGGCTATAAACTTAAAAAATTTCTACAAGAATGTAAATTTTTAATAAGAATATTATTAGTTTATTATATTTTAAAGAAAGAATATATATGTTATTTTGCAATTTATTATTTTAATAAACAATATATTAAAGTAAAAAATACAGACACAAAAACTAGGCTGCTTTGCAATTTGCCTTCAAGTTTCCCTGATAAAGATTGTAAAGATATCATGGATATAATATGTGTCACGATGGTTATTTAATCAAGACTGCAATTTTTGTAAAATAAAACCAAAGGGGATCGAATAATATCGGATCATTCTCCAAATTGGACCATTCTACTTCTGTGCTACCGCATTACCTATCGAAATTATTGTACATCAGATTATACCAAGAAACTTGTGATGTGTGGAAACGTATCAAACGAATCGCGGCGTACGTTAAGAGAAGTTTTATCTATATTCGTAATACATTATTATATACATATATGAAATATACATAGACTCAATCATGATAAGATATATTTTTATATGTAAATATGGCATTTCTTCTTGTTATCTTATTAATATTTTGCCGAGGCGGTAGACAAACTAATAAAATCTCGGAAATTTACGAAGGTGGCGAAAACATGGCCGTCGCGAGAGTCATTGTAATTCGTACATTTTTCCTGATACGCAAGAAAAGATTATGAGCAACGTGCGAGGAGAGAACAAAGGCGTTTAACTAATGTCTTGCAGATATCCTGTGATTATTAGGCACGATCGGTACTTCTTTCGTTTGTTATTCTCAGCTCTTGTTGGTCAGTAGATTAATTAGACTTATCTATCACAATAATCAAGAATAAATATCGTAACGATGGTTCAGATATAACTTTTCATCGATTCTAAGATTAT